TTGATTACTTTAAATCATTAACTTAAAATAAGAGTAATTTCAATGGCCAGGCGTGGTGGCTCGCGCTTGTAATCTCAGCACTTTGGGAGGCCAATGCAGGTAGATTGCTTGGGCTCAGGAGTCCAGGACTAGCCTGGTCAACATGGTAAGACCCTGTCTCTGCTAAAAATACCAATAACAACAACAAAAATCACCAGGTGTGGTGCAAGCCTGTGGTCCCAACTAGGAAGGCTGTTGGGGGTGGAGGTTGCAGTGAGCCAAGATCACATCACTGTACTGCAGCCTAGGTGATAGAGCGGGTCTATGTATCAAAACTTAAGTAATTTTCTTTTAATTTTTCTATCTGAATTGTATACATTTTAAAACAGCTATTATAATTGTGTTTTTTTTGGTTTTCCTCTTTAAAAATCTTTCAACGTCTAAAACACCTTCTCTTTCATCAAGAATGTTTTAAAATCTTTCCTATTTTAAGAGTAATTAAGGTTTTTTTTTTTTTTAATTCCCAAAGGTTGTAAAGATTGCCCTTAGTAAAGAAGGAATTGTGTAGTATTTTTAAGTTGCATTGTATATTGATTATTTTGTTCCTGTGGGCCAGAGTGGTTTTTTTTTCCTCTGCATTAGAGTAAAGGTAAAAATAATGCTTTTTTAAAAAGAAGAGAATCAACTGATCAGTTTGATCATGAGGTCCTTGGTTCATCAGGAATGTTGTCTGCCTGTAGCAGCTGACATACCTCTGAGAAGGGTAAGGATTGAAAAGCTGTACGCAGAATTAAGCTAAGCCACATGTTAAAAAGGACAAAATAGTCATTTAGGAATTAATTGAATCTGAATAGTTGAATTGAAATAAGAGTTGGTAAGGGTAGCAGTGTCATAGAAAAGAAGTTGGTGAATTGAGGAGGCTCTTCAGTGGTATAGCCAGAGGAGAAGTAACTGCAATACCAAGAGATGTGTTGACATCTTCCGGTTTCTTTCCCATGTGATAATCATCTCCATTTTATGATTTCCATTTTAATCACATTATACAACTTTTTAGTGAGATTTAACCTAGTTTGTTTATCTTACAGGATTCATCTAATTGATGAATTTAATACCGATATGGATATCTTTGTGTTTCTGCTATCAACAAAAGCTGGTGGATTAGGAATAAATCTGACTTCAGCAAATGTTGTTATACTTCATGATATTGACTGTAATCCTTACAATGACAAACAAGCAGAAGATAGATGCCATAGAGTAGGCCAGACTAAGTAAGTATTTTTAGTTGAAATGTATTTTTAATTCAATGCCACTTTAATTTGTGAAGACCATTAGAATATAGTGTTGGATGACCTGACTGAGTTTTTATTTTTCAGCAAAGCATGGCTACTGATGTATTCTGTACCAGCAGTGTTGAACATCAACTGCACTATGTAACCCTTCCATTTTCTAGTAATTAAAACCATCCACCCACATTCCAAATAGTTCTGCAGTTCATGAAGATGACGTATAGAAAAGCAATGGTCTACCCCCTTTGAAAAAGATTAGTATTTGAAAAGATGCACTTGTTAGACCACTTAACAGCCAGACAAACTTGGTAATGTACAAACTATTGCTGGGCTATCCTGTTACCCTTTAGGAAGTAAATTGAATTGTAGATTATTTTAGATGAATGGCAGTTTTGACATTTGTCACAGCACTGTAAAGAGGTGAAGATTGTTGCAACTCTGCTTACATATATAAAGAGCAGACAGTGTCTTCGTGAAGTATTTTAGTGTATGTCCAACATATATTGGTGTTGTCATTTATAGACTAAATACTTACCAGTATCTATTGTGAAACTTTGTGCTTGACCACACTGCCTGAAGTGTACAGAGACACTGCTCCTCAGGACCTAAGAAGCAAAGCATGTTTCTTTTAAAAATGTTATTTCCATCTGAACAAAGAACTGTTTGTTGTAATGTAATTTTATCCATATATGGTATATATATATATTTTTTTTGGTGTTTTTGTTGTTGTTGTTGTTTTGTTTATTTGTTTGTTTTAAAACAGAACCTCACTCTGTCACCCAGGCTAGAGTGCATGGTGCCATCTCGGCTCACTGCAACCTCCACCTCCTGGGTTCAAGTAGTTCTCATGCCTTAGCCTCCCAAGTAGCTGGGAGTACAGGTGTGTGCCACCATGCTCAGCTAATTTTTTATTTCTTTTTTTTTTTTTTTTTTTTGAGACAGGATTTTGCCATGTTGACCAGGCTAATCTTGAACTACTGGCCTCAAGCTACCCACCTCAGCCTCCCAAAGTGCTTGGATTAGAGGCTTGAGCCACTGTGCCCAGCCAGTAATTTTTAAAGTACAAATATCTTTCTCTTTTCTTGAATCTTTAGGAGTGTCTAAAAGTTAAATAATCAGAAAATGTCAGCCTCAAGTAGTTGAAATAAAAGAATTTAAGGATCTGTTTGTCATAATTTTCAAGGTATTCTTTTTGAACTCTTATAGTTTAGAAATATCCAAATAACTATATTTATTAACCAATGGACATATCTTGCATTGTTTTTAGAGAAGTACTAGTTATAAAACTAATAAGTCAAGGGACGATTGAAGAATCCATGCTAAAAATTAACCAACAGAAACTGAAACTAGAACAAGATATGACCACTGTAGATGAAGGTAAGTTGTTTGTAAGCAGAAACTTCAATATTTATTTATATGACCACAATTCAAATTAGTCAGTGCAAGAGGATGACAAAGATGGCTAAAATCCTTAACTAGCTTACAGTTTAGGGATCATGTGTGATGTCAGAGAAGGTAAGCATACTTATTTCAAAAGTACTATAACTGATCATTTTTAAAATTCCTTAATTTCAAAATTTTTATTTTTATATATGTTTTTGAAAGGATAGTATGTTCAAAACCCAGATATGAAAGAACAGAAGCCTCCTACTCATCCTACTTCCCAGCTTTCCCTTTTAATGTTAAATTAATTGGAAATGAGCAATTTTTATTTTAATAAAGATATTCTTGCTAATGGTTCATTTTAATTTAGCAAATTTCTGTTCATGACAGACACTGTTAAGTCTGTTGTTAGGCACTCTGTACTACATAAAAATCAATATATCTGTCTACAGAGAGAAATATGATCATCAAATAATTACTTGTCTTTCTTTCATAGCATTTATTTCAGGGTGCTGTGGAAGCTTGGGGGGCAGGCAGTAGAGAAAGTTTGAGTAAGAAACAACTGAGATCTTTAAAATTAAGGATAAGTAGAGTGATCGTAAGTTAAACAATTAACAGTAATTACTATGCTTTGTGTGCATGTGGCAACTTGCCAATTGCAGGTGGTCCAGCAAATACAGTAAAGTAAATGCGTAAGGCAGATTCTCTTTGGGCAGTGTTTTTCTTATTATTTAGGGCAGCTTTTAGAATTTAGTAAAGTATTTAAATTCTTTTTTAGTGATACTAGCAAATATCCAGATATATGGATTTTATTCTAACAAGTTTCTCAATATAATAGAACCACAATAATTGATAATTAACTATAGTCTTTTCTTATGGGCTAGTTTATTTCCTCAGAAGGGTATTTTTCAACCTCCTGGAAAGTGAAAATACAGGTGGGGAGAGGTGATATGAGCCAACTGCCCTGAGAAGTGAAGGAGGGAGGTTTGTTCTCATATTTAAATATTAATAGTTAATCTGCCTGTTTTCAGCAGCCTCTCTGTTCTTTACTCTGCCAAGTCCAGAGTTCTTCAGACTTATGTTCTCCAAAGAGAATAAACCTTCATTCATTTTTATATGTCTGGGGCAAATGGCTGGCTCTCTTGGGCAAGCTTCAGGAATCTTACCTGTTCAACTTGTTTATAGATAACTTTATGTTTCCCATTTACCCCATTTCCTGGGCTTTGGGGGTAGAAGGGTAAGGATTCTGGGTGTGAAGTAGCCTTGCATTTCCTACCTGAAGACTCTTAAGCTTTTACTTTATTACGTTAAAATCAGTTTCCGTTCTTTACCTATCATTTTCTTCCAGAATTTGTGGGCAGCTGTCTCTCTGCTGTTGTCCTTTCTCTCCTGTCCTTTCTCTTTTGTTTAACCCCCTTAACACTTTTTCTCACATCGTATTTTAATGGCATTACAGCTGAAGGGAGCAGAGGTGATGTGTATGTTCAATCATTTTCAGTCATAATGTAAATTATTCGTATTTATATAAATTTGGTCAGTCTAAAAGTTTGCCTGTTACGTTCACCTATACTGTCTGTTAAAATAGCAGTGTATTTTTAGCTGTGCTCTCAAGCCAGTAGCTTTGAAATGTTTAATTATGAAGAATCCTGCCCTCTCCTTACCCCTCTTCCTTTCTGTAGGAAGTTTTTCTCTATCTTGTTAAAGCTGTTTACATACGCATTTTTCCCAGCGTGTATTTTATTTGCTAGACTGAGGATGTAATGGTGTCTTTTATTTACTCATTGAACTGCAATCATTTTGTCTTCAGCTGTGCCCCTGGTTTCGTTTAGGTAATTTTGACACTGAATTGATGACATATATGCCCTTTCCATCTCTCACAATGTAATCCTTTTCCTTTATAAACAAAAAGTATATTCGTAATTGAGTATGTATAGCTTTTTGTTAACAATCTGTTTGCCTCCTCTACATAAAACTGTGAAAGGTAAAGACCATGATGCCTCTCAAATATGCTTATCAGATTCTTGTGTTTCTAGAGCTTGCTTTAGTGGTTATCAGAGTACCAACAGCAGGAGCATCATCTCCTAAGAAATTGGCAATTTGAAATGCAAATTCCCAAGCCCCATTCTATACCCACTTGGTGAAAAACTCTGGCGATAGGACCTGATAATACTCAGTTTAACAAGTTGTCCAGGTGATTCTGATAAAGCTAAAATCAGAGAACCACTGCTTTAAAATAAAGATTGTGTTTTGGATTTTTTTCATTAACCTCCCTTAATGTGATTAATTGTATTAACATTTTTTACCTTTTTGAACTTTAAAAAATATATATGTTACTACAATCATGACTACATACTCTTTGAATTTTTTTATTACAGAAATAGTCATACAAAAATGAAAGCAGTGACTGGGCATGTGGTTCATGCTTACAGTGCTTATTTGGGGAGACAGGAAGGAGGATCATTTGAGCCCAGGAGTGCAAAACTAGCCTGGGTAATATAGCAAGACTCCATCTCTATAAATATATATATGTGTGTATATATACTTTATTAATTGTTGAAAGTATAGTAGGAATGAAAAATACAGTGATTTGACAGTTAATGACATTTGCCGTGTTTTTCTACTTTTTTCCCATTGATCTATAATAAAGTCAACTGTAAACATGGTAATTTATTTTCAGTATCACAGCATAATTCCTGTAAGTTGGTACAATACTATTATAGCATCTAAGAAAATAAACAGTGATTTTTCAGATATTATTATATATTGCTCATATCCAGGTTTTTCTCATTTGTCCCCGTAATGTCTTTTATAGCTTTTCTTAAAACACCAGGGTTCAGAGTTCATACACTGCATTTTCTTGTATTCTGTCTTTAGTATCTTTTAAGTTTAAAAGGATCGCATTATTTTTTTCTTTCTTTCCTCTGCTCCCTTTATTCTTCCTAACATGGTATCAGTTCATTTAGTAATTTATAAAGTGTCAATTTGAATTTCATGGGCTATTTTCAAGTATATGGATGAGCTTGGAAGCAAGGATGTCAGTGAACTCCATAAGAGTTGATGCACACTATATTGTGTTCCTGTGGTTATTTGTTTTTTCGTTTTTTTTTTAAACAGAGAAAAAAGAGTGGATAAAAGTACTCATAATTTTAGATTGTAACTGAGGTGTATATTTGTGAGAGAGTGGGAGAAAGAGAAGTGGTTAGTTTTGCTACATTTCATCCACATCTAATTTATAAAATTATTCATAGCTACGGCTCTATCACAGATCAGCAAATACTTGTGAATTGCCAGCTGTGCTGTTGTAACTAGTAAATTAATAAATCAGCTCATCTCAAAATATTCTGAGTGCTGAAATGAATTAATCAGGGATGGCTAGATTATCTGCCACTGTGACACAAGGGGACTTAGAAAATCTCAAAATTCTTGTAAGTGTTTATAAATACTGGGGTTTAATTAAAATATAGGGCAAAATTTGGACAAACAGGGTAATTTAAAGTAGCTAATTAATCATTAGATGGTATGCTGTGCTCAGAATGTTATATGTATACAGTTTGGGTCTAAGTGATTGTATCTTTAGATCAAAAAATAAGAGTTTAGATTAAATAAGATTTGAGTTTGTTTAGGTTTGCATTTATTGTCTTTGTTTTTTTTACTTCGTTTGTTACATAAATGTTTTTTATTTAGCAAATGTGAGAAGTACCATGGGCTATATGACTTAGATATTGATCCAGTGTATATCATGTATCTTTATATAGCTTTATAAAATTGGAAACATGACCTTAGATTTCTATGTTGGCAATATGAACAAGAACACAGAGGAAAAGACCCTAATATAAGTAAAGTTTAGGAAAGTTTTTTAACAGGTGTGACCCTGAAGCAACGTAGCCCTTGAAAGATGAGTAAGAATTCACCAAGGAAAAAAATTGAGACAATCTGTCTTATAAAATAAAACATTTTTATAATGCTTTTAATGCTACTTTCTGATCTGCAGGTGATGAAGGGAGTATGCCAGCAGATATAGCCACATTACTAAAAACATCAATGGGCCTGTGAAATAAGACTTGTGAGCTCTCAATTGATGAGGAAATATCAACTTGGTGCACTCAAGGACATTTACATTATGATGACCATGGGGTTTATGAACATTTATAACTTTTTATAATTTCCATATTACATTTCTCATAGTATGGACAACTTTTGCCACTAACTGAATTCTCCAGATACTCACACGTGAAATTAAAAAAAAAAAAAAGCCACAAATATGTAGTCCTGAAGTTGTTGAATAATCATTTTACAAAGCAGTTTTCTGAATGGGGATTAGTTGGTGATTGTTTGTAACAAATATGCTAATGCTTTAGAAATGTCAGTATTTTTGTAATTATTTCTACCTCCAAATATATATATATTGTCTTTCACTGGATAATGTGTGTAGATTTTTACATGTGCCTTATTTGACAATGCTTATGTCTTGTTTTTGCTTGTCTCATTTGAAGTTCTTTTTTATTATGTTAAAGAATGCAGCTGTATAGGTTATATAGCTTTCATTTTATTGCTATTTGAAGCAGATGTTCACCAATGTCAGCAAGAACTCAACCTGAATTTAAAGGTGGCATTCCATATACTAACATCCCCCAGGTCCTCTCAAGTACTTCTGCTGAAACAAATTTATTTGGCTAGGCACTAAGTTGTTTTCCAGTGAATAGTAACTAAAGAAGCCCTTACCTTGCTCCATGGATTAATTCCTTCTGTTCATTTTCCAACTGCACTGATTGTGCATATTACTCTGCCTAAACTTGTGCATGTTTTCATTGATTTCCCTCTCCCGGCTTTTGCTTCTCTTGAAACTGTTGCCCAGTCACTTCTGCTCCAATTCTCTTCCTCTCTAAATAGTAGTTTATTACTGCCACATCTCCATGCATCAGCAGAATGTTGGTGACATTTTTCTAGCCTGGCAGAACAGATTACTTAAAGCTATTTCACTTCAAAGCAGATTGAATGTGACTTCATCTAAAGGCAGCATTAGGTACTGCATGGAAATAGGTCGTTAACTTGAAACTCTTAATCAAAATATATTTTACCAGTTTCCAGAATTTCCAGTACAGGACCGCTTGAAGAGAGAGCCATTGTTCAATTCCAATTCAGTGTGAGTGACAAAGTGAAATTTAGAAGTGAAGTTGTCTATTTGATATTTAACTCTTTATTAAGTCTTTCTTTATATTTCTGCCTGTCAGTCTATATTGCTGTTTTTATTATACATCAGTTTCTTTGTATAACTTGTGAGTTCCATGTGTTTTGTTTTTATTATGTAAATATCATTATAAATAAACTTATTTATAAATCAACGATTTGTTAATTTTTGGAAATCATACTTTTCAAAGCATCCTAACTTGCTAAGATGTTAGGTAATATGACCCTCTGGATTTGGAAAGCAAATAAAATTCTTACAGTGATTATTTAGATATTAAAGACTCTGATAACTCATGGCTTAACCCCAGTCTTGATGGTATATTGAACAGACTGAATATATTTTGCCATTACAGGGTTAAAAGGAGTCTTCATGTGTTAATACTACCTCCTTGTACATCACCATACCCAAATCACTTAGTCAAATTGTTAGGAATATTACCTTTGAAAATCTCATAATGGATTTCTCATAACTTTTCTGTAGTAATGTATTTTCAGTGATAGGCTGTTTCTTTTGCTGTTGTTGTTATTGTTGTTATTGTTATATCCATAATTTTATCTCTAATGAAATGTAGTTGGGTTCTTCCTGTAATGCACTATTATGTCTTGGGCTTAATAAAAATATTTGTGATCCTAAGTTGTATCTTCACACCCTTTTTAATAGTTTCTAACCCTCCTCTTACCCTTAAAAATATATAATATTGAGCACAAATGGGATTATCTTATGTGCTTAATATTGCCTGTTTGTAAATTAGAACTTACTACTTAGGATGTATTCTCATTGGTTTCTTCATTGGACTGATGTCAGTAAATATTATAACCCATTATCACTACAAGAGCAAATGAAGCAACAGTTGGAGTAATATCTTGACCAACTGAAGCATTTTTTAAATGTAAGCTACACAAAGAAGACATGCCTTATGCATTTTTATAACTGTTTGGGAATTCATTGATTTGTAACTTTATTCCCATAGATAGTTATTTTGAAACATTATTGTTTCTAACAGTTGGTATTACTGTGTAGTGGAGAGATGGGGTTATGAGATTTGGTTTCCATTTGTATGACCTTATGTGTGACACAGTCCATATATTTAAGGAATTCATCCTTTTAACTGTTTTCCCAAAAATGTATTTTTAAAATTATAAATTCAATATTCAGTTTACTTTCTGTTTGGCTTTACTCTTGCTTAACCACCTTCTCTTTGCATAGCAGCAAGGAGAAATATAATTTGGATACACAATAGAATAATGGAATGTGTTGTCCTTACGTGCAAAAAGATTACCTAAAGGTTATGATAATGCTAAATATTTCCTTACGAAACTTGCCATGGTACTTTATACTTGAATTATGATTTGTATAAATATATAGGACTGATTATCTTATTTTGAATTTTCATAATTTTGTATAAGCATTTACTTAATTCTGTGTTCATTAAAGCTTGATGTGGGGAAAATTTATTTGGAAGAGTGAAGAAAAGTTTACCTTCATTATCGAGAGCATTATTTGCATTTTTTTGTTGTTGTTAAAGGTAATACTTTGGATTGCCTGGATTACATACTGGAGGGCTTTATAATGAGATTCACATGCAACTTATTATAATTTACTTACAGTCACTAATAACAAGAAAATTTGATCCAAAGAATCAGGGTACTTGGAAAATTCACTTTGTTTTTATGTGTAATCTTTAATAATTTATATTTATTGTTTTGTTGTTGTTTCAGACAGAGTCCCTCTGTCACCCAGGCTGGAGTGCAGTGGCACAATCTTGGCTCACTGCAACCTTCACCTCTTGGGTTCAAGTGATTCTTCTGTCTCAGCCTCCTGAGTAGCTGGGATTATAGGTGCCTGCCATGATGCCCAGCTTATTTTTGTACAGATGGGGTTTCACCATGTTGGCCACATTGGTCTCAAACTCGTGACCTCAAGTGATCCACCCGCCTTGGTCTCTAAAGTGCTGGGATTACAGTTATGAGCCATTGCACCTAGCCTAAAGTATTTAATAAGATTTTTTTCAATTTCATAAAACATTGAGAGGAAACAAACACCTCTATACCTATCTGGGGTTTTCTTTTCCTTTTCTTTCTTTCTCCCCACATCCTCCTCTCATTTTTGACTTCTCAATTGTGAATAAAGCTGCTGTAAACATCTGTGGACCGGTTTTTATGTGGACATGTTTTCAGGTCCTTTGAGATGAATATAAAGGAGCACAGTTGCTGGACTGTAAGGTAAGCGTATGTTTAGTTTTGTAAGAAATTGTCACTGTCTTCCAAGGTGGCTGTACCATTTATATTCTCATCAACAAATGAGAGTTCCCCTTGCTCCACATCCTCATCAGCATTTGGTGGTGTCTGCTGTTTTCGATTTTTGCCATTATGATAGTCATATGGTGGTATCTTGTTTTAATTGGCAGTTTGCTAATGACGTTTTGTTGGGCACTTCTTCATATGCTTATTGCTACTGTATCTTTGTTGAGGTGTCTGTTGAGGTCTTCTGCCCATTTTTTGATCAGCTTGTTGTCTTACTGTTGAGTTTTATGAGTTATTTGTATAATTTTGGATAACAATCTTTTATTGGATACATGTTTTACAAGTATTTTTTCCCAGTCTGTGGCTTGTCTTCTCATTCTCTTGATCTCTGGGATATCTACATTTTTCTTGTCACAACAACATCATGTTAGTAAGTTCATAAGTTCCTCTGGCTGCATGTCTGGAGCCTCTTGAACTGTAGCTGTGTCAGATTCCCAGTCAGCTCTTTTCTCTTTAACTGTATGTTCAGTTTGAATTTCATTCCAGCATTAAAAGATTTTGTTCCTTTGCTGCACTTTAATCTTTGTTGGGGAGTTCACTCTTTTGATTACTCATTTTCGTAAAATGTCAAAGGGATTTATTACTGGGCAACAAGCAGGCAATAGCAATACACACTTTGCTGTCTATGCAAGAATAACAGATGTGCAGTGACCACTGGCCGTCTTTGAAAGAAGTGACTGGTCATTGGTCATGTTGTACATAGGTTATTTACGTAGGGAAATGTGGACTGGAGAGCTACTAGCAAAGTTTGTATTTTATGCAATTGCAGTTAATTGTGGTAGCTGAAGTTCAAACCTTTTTGGGAGGAGAGGAAGAATGGTGTTGCTAAACCATCATGACTACAGTTTCTTCATGTTAGAACCTGTGCATGGAAAGGTCTGTTGGTATTACATACTGTTTTTCCTCAATTATAAATGCTGTGAAGCTATTCTCAAAGAAAAAGATAGTGAAGCAAGATTTTTTTTTGCTTTTGTTTTCCTTTTTTAAAATCAGATATGGCTAAAGTGAAAATCTTGGTGAAGCAGGTGAGGGGGCACGTGAAATATCTGGCAACGTGATGTAGCTGTCTTATCTGATGGGAGAGATGCAACCCAAGAAAACAAACTTGAAGGCAGCATGGATCAGCTAGAGTTTGGTTTGGGGTCTTCGTTTTATCCAGTTAGCGATGGCAGGAATGGCTTGGACTTTCTTCAGTAAAGACACCAGCCTTGGATGGATGTCCAGCAGGTCGGGCTTATAGACCAAAAGTGTGGTACTGCAGATCTCCCAGTAGAAATCTGCCCAAGTTACCTAGTTTAAAGGAAACAGACTTTTCATTTGAACATAGAAAGTATAGCTGTATCAGTATTCCAAAGTTAAAATTAGTTTCTCTGAAAGATCCAAAACAATCTTTTGTTATTACAAGAGCAGAATATGTATATGACAGAAATTCAGAAAATTACTGATAACATACTCCAACACTCAGATTACTACTGTTAAACATTTTCATGTATAAGATATTTTTCTATGCTGATAGATAGATCTTGTTTTACTAACATGAGCGCTTAATGGTACATAGTCTCGTAACCTTGTCCAATCTCCACCTCTCTGTTACATTTTCCTTATCTAATAACCAATATGTATTTTTCCATCTGTTCTAAAAATGTCGTCCTTCACAGGACAAAACAGGATCTATTCCAGGTCTGTGCATTTCATCTGGTTATGTCTATTAGGTCTTCAAAACAGTACCCTTTTTTTCACATCACCAAATTATTGAAGATTTCACACTAGAACTACAGAATGTCCTGTCTTCAGGATCTTTGTATTTCATCTTTCTTACCTTGTTCCTTTATCCTACATAGTATAAAGGAAGAGGTGCAAGTTATTCCTAGAAGGTATATAGTTTCAAGTGAAATTATTTGTGGCTAAAATACATTATATTTTATTGCATCAAAAGAAATGTATGGGTGTCTGACCATCAGAGGTATGCCAAGACTGGCCACTGGATTGGTGATGATAGCCTGGTCCTACCATTGTGCAGTTGGATGTTTTTACCTTTGTGACTAGAAGCCAATCTGTATGCTGTTACTTTGGCTCCATATGATTATCAAAGAGTGAAGGTTTAATACTCTTATCTTTTTGTATAGAATTTAATAAAGCTGATTGCCAGTGTTTCAGGAACTTATTAAACATCTGTCAGCCAAGAGAAGCTATTGGCTAGAAGATTCAGAATAAATGCAGAATTTATTCAAATATTTATCAAGCAGCTACCGTGTGCCATGCCCGGGTCTAGGTCCTGGAGAGCAAGTTAGGATGCAAGCTCCTTCTCTGATTCAGCTGTTATTTTATAAGGGAAAATCAGTCAAATATGCAAACTGATGGGAGTAATGAAAAAAAAAGTGAAGTCATGTGATGGACTATGGCATGGTCAGGGAAGACTTTTAAGAGGTGACACATAAACCAAGGCTTGAATGTAAAAAAGGATTAAGACCTGCAGTGAGCGACCCGGGGATTAAGCGTTCCAGGTAGAGGGAAGAATGTAAAGTCCCTTAGGTGGGAGTGTGAGTTAGGTGTGAGGAACACACACACAAGTGTGTTTGGAGCACTGTGAAGAAGGGAGAGAGTGCTCAGAGATGAGATCAGAACATCGTTTACAAAGGAATTTTAATAGAAAACCAAAAAATAAAGTCTTAGAAATTATTCAGTAAATAGGGCAGGAGAGAAGCACTTTAGGAAAGGCTATGAGGGGAGCCAGTCAGAAGAAATAAAGGGATGTGTGAAGAGGTTGAAAGTTGAGAATAAAAATGTAACAAGTTTGCTTCTGTTTATTTATCCGGAAGGGCTGAACAGGGCAGACAGCAATCAGTGTCAGTGGGCTACAAAAAAGCAGTCTCGCCTCCCAGAATGCAGTCTCCCTGAAGGGGGGGCCACCACCTACCCAACTTACAAGTCAGATTTAGATTTGATTTTTTAGCAAGACTACTCACACGTGGTAGTGTGCCCATAGTATCTGGTTGTCTCACTTTTTTGTGATTATTGATGGTCCAAGCCTACACCAATTTTTCTGGAGTTGGAAAGTGGTGATAGTTTATTTCAGTCTGTCTTTCTTATCTATTAACTGGAATGCTTTTATAAAGAGAAACTTTTTCCAATCGATTGAGGTACAAAATGCTTTCTCATTTATCCTGATATAAAATACATACGAGTTTATACTGTTAGCTGTAGTTCAGATTCAGGAATAGGATATTTACTTGACTTTACTCGCCTTACATCTCCATCTCCTTTCTCCCATACTGAAGATCCTGGTTCTCAATAACATCAACACAATTTATTTTTGTGCTCACAATATAAGTATAATAATATCAGAAAAAAATACTAATAGTGCCTAGTATCACCAACAATATGATTACTGAAAGTAATGTATGATTTTTTTGTTCTAATCTAAGAATATCTTAGATGTTTAATCAAAGTAGTGGGTTTTACAAATGATATTTCTTGAAATAGTTTCTCTCTAATAGAGTACATATGTATTCTGTGTGTTCTTTATGTGTCTCTTTTGCAGTTAAGTTCATTTACTTCACTTTGATTTTTTAGCATAGCTTTTTAAACTGCTGCTGCTAATAAATAATTATATAAAATATTTTATTGTTCCAAAATCAAATCTATTGTTTAAAAGGTTTAAAGAAATTTAACCTTTGTTCTTGCTGTAAACTCTATTCTCTCCTTACAGGTTACTTTTTTCAATACTTTTTTTTGTTTTTCCTTTTATTTTTTGAATTTTTAAAGATATAAAACATACTCACGGAGTTACCAATAAGCCACTCTTTTCCCCCTAAATATGTGTCCAAATCTTGCATAAGATGAGGCGCAGTATATGTGAGCAGCTCATTGAACATCTGTTCCTGGGAAAGGGAGAAAATATCACATTAGGAACAATGAGAAGAAAAGTAAGTAGTATGTTCTAAGGAGGAAGTAGATTTCTCCATCTTTATTCTCCTACATGAATTAAAGAAGAAAGGGAAATAGCTAGATTTTTTATTCAAATTTATGACACGGAGATTTAGGTCTGATTATAAATGTTAGTCATCTCTTTATTGCTCATGGATTAAAAAAATAAATAGTTTTGTCACCAGTTCTTACAGTTTGTGTATAATGACTAAATATTTTACTCACAAAACCTTATTTTTTCTTAAATTTTTTTTTACTAAAGCAAAATGATTGTTTTCTTGGATTTCTAAAATTTTCCCTTTTCTTAACCTAGCTCTTTTAAAGCTGAATAATATAACTGAAGATAAAGAAATTAATTTTATTTCATAGGCCTGGACTCTTCTAGTTTGGCAGTTCTTCATTTCACTATTGGGTTTAATCGATGTAATGAAACATGAAGATCTTGGGCCTTTATGTATATTTTCCTTGGACTACCATTGTGCTTTAGTATCAGATTTGTCTCCCTTGAATATCATCTACAAAATGCTTCATCCAGTTATCCCCTCAATATATAAATGAATATTATTTTTTAAAATGAACATCCTTAGGAAAATATACATAAAACACCCATTTTTAAAAATTGTCATTATTTTTCTACTTGAAACTCTGAAGACCAAATAATTTACTCAAGGCCTCTTTCTTGATAAGAGATACTTGTTTATATATAGGAATTCTGCCTGTTTGAGTCTTGGTTATGAAATATAAGCTACACTCATAAAATGTATATATCATTTGTTAATGTGTATACATGACCTATAATGAAATCCAACCTTTATTAAGATAAGTCAGATAGTGGATACCTCACCAATTTGTTGATTTACTTGCTGTTATGATTATGACTTAGCTAGATAATGTATACACAACATAATGCCTTATATTTATAGAGTACAATTTGGAAAGTCACCTTTACATACAGGGTGAGCATCCCTAGTCCAAAAATCCAAAATGCTCCAAAATCCAAAATTTTGAGTACTGGCATGATGCTCAAAGGAAGTATTCAGGGGAACATTTCAGATTTTGGCTCTCCAGATTTGGCATGCTCAACCACTAAGCATAAAGCAAATGTTCCAAAATTTGAAGAAAACCCCAAATCTCAAATACTTCTGGTCCCAAGAATTTCAGATAAGGGATACTCAACCTGTACTTACGTATGTTTGCCAGATCTAAAAACTGAAGCTTCTAAAGCTTGCCATTACTTTGACTTTATGTTCTTTCCCTTATAAAGTGCTCTGTGGTTAAAATGTTCATAGTTGAAGAAAACATTAGATACGAGTCTTTCTGCTGCTTACACAGAATTTGTAATCCTGATGAAGGGCAGTGAGTCCAGAACCATGTGATACTTGCCACAGGTCTGCTCAGCTCAGTCAGGATCGGTCAGAAAGGTAATGGCCAATTTGACTGTGAGACAACTTTCCAAAAACTCCTGTATGCACTCCTGGGAAATTCTGTTCTTCTAATGTACATTTCCACAGCTTCAGGTACACCGATGTGTGTATATATGCAGACTCAAATAAAACTATTATATCTGTGCTATTGACTTCTCCTTGAGCCTAGGTTCTCTTTACAATTTTGGCAAATTATTTCAGTCTAATGAAATGTAACTTAATAAACAGTATAATTTGTATTTAAGATTCATTTTAAGAACAGTCAGCTAAAACAATGTAAAGAAGATAAAATTTATTACAGGGTTTTTTTTCCAGATATATTAAAAAAATACATTTCTTGATCAATTGTAGACAGCTGCTTCTATACTTGATGGATGCAGAAATTTCGTGCCTCCCTTTTTGGAGATATATTATAAAGGAGGTTTATTTCACCCTGAGTAGTTGTTGCTATGATATTCTAACAAACGACTTTTAGGGAGATTTGTATATTTCTCCAAAGCATTTTTACGTACGCATTACCAAAATTATTTTGTGTTGGAACCAGGACTTCAGGATGTCCCCAGGCCCTCTAAGGATCGTCGGGGTGACCAATATCCAAAGACCTATTTTGCTTTTAATTCTTTTTTTAATTGGAGATGGATTTTTTAAGCAATAAATACTCTGATAGATTTTTAAAGCATAAATGACAAGAATATATTCACTATCCACCTGAAGTGCATCAGTATTCTGCCTTTGAAATTTTCACCTGACCATGAGGTGGCAGCAGTGCAGTCCAGTACAAACAGTCTTAAGAAATGAAATACAGAATGGTGCATTTTTCATTATATATTAACCTAGTCCTGCTTGTTAATTAGATATTCTATAGCTATCAGCAATGTTTCTGCAGCGTGTCCTGCCTTTGTATGATTTATTCATGAACTTGGATTGCCCTGTCCTTTGAAATTGTTTTTGAAGTAGGTGTTATATAAGAGTTTTGTTACTGTAATACAAAGGTAGAGTGTTACTCTTATCATAAATGTTCGAAGAATATTTTCCTCTGGTAGGTGGCCTCTGTTACGGAGCCTCAGCCACAGAAAGGTAGAAAATAGAAAGTAGAGAAGAGCAAACTGATAAACTGATAGACTGCACATTAGGGGGGTCTTTGGTACATGGAACAAAAATCTTTAGACACTTTTACTAAATTGAAGATTATCTGTTTCTGCATTTATAATAATATGTAAAATACAGATGCCATGTCTGACAAATTAGTAAAGACGATTAACACCAAAGTATATAACATTATTAGTTATAATAGTTAATATTTATTTAACACTTCCTACCTAGCGATAGGCACATATGCTACCATTTAATCCTGCCAACATACTTCAAAGTAGAGACTTATGTCCCTACTTCACAAAGAGTTTGAACTATAAATAGGTAGTTAAGTAACAGCTACTGAGAAGGGAAATCAGGATTCAAGCCTGGCAGTTTGACTCCAGAGCCCAAAAGTATTTACGTCAAAAAGTTGTATTTCTGTCATCAAAGCTGAACTTTACTCTTTCCTGGATAGGCAAATATATGTGCATGTGTGTGTGCGCACACCCTACACACCTTTCATTTGTATCACGAAGTCAGTAAATGTAAATACTTTTGCGTCCAGATGTCTCTATTCAAATCGGAAGGTGCTAAATAGTATTTACAATAAATACTAAGTAGGTAGTATGTACTTAAATATGTGCTTAAGTAAATTGGTAAGACTGCCTGTTATTTGTGCTGTGGCTTTTGGCTACAGGCTTTAGTTTTAACATGTACGTAAATAGTCATGCACAGCTGTTTTGAACAACTGCTTGCACTGTGGTAGTATACCCAGTGGTTAAGAATCAGGCATTTGAGTCTGTGATGATTTGAATTCCTTGTGCATCACTTATAGCTGAACAATTTTGGGCAAGTTGTTTACATGAAACTGTTTTCTTACCTGGGAGATTAGGATAACTTTTATTCTAAAGGGATGTTTAAATTAGTTACTAAGTTAAGCGATTGTATACCTAGGTGATGAAGCTATCGGTTCTAAATTTGGCTGTCTGGGCTCAGATCACAGTTCTGTCATTTGTTTGACTTTGGGCAACTCTGTAACTGCTCTGTTTCTCACTGTCTTCATCTGGAAAGTGAGTATGACAATAAAAAGCACTTATCCTGAAGGAGGAGAAGGAGCGCTGACTGAGATAACACATCCAAAGAGCCAAGAGTAGCACAGGCACATGGTATGCATTTAATGAGTGTGTTTCTGATCACTTATTCAACAATTCTGTAATGCCTACTATATAAAAGGCACTGTGATAGCAGTAGGGATCAGTTGAATAATACAGATATGATTCCTACCCTCCCATTGCATACAGCTTGAGGAAACAAGTAACAAGTAAATACATTTTAAAATAGAGATTGTGATAAATGTCCTAAAGGAAACTACTAGAGGCTGTAATAGAGAACAGAAGACATCTATTTAGTATTCTGCATAAAGATGAATCATTTGACATACATACATAATTTTGCTTTTATCCCCAAACCGCAGTGATGAATATTTTTTAAAAGATAGAACCCACAACGAAGTGGAAAGAGAGGAGAAAAGAGCAAACAAAATTTGAAGCTGGCAAGCAGTTGGGTGAATGGCACCTGCAAAGGAAAAGCCAAGAACCAATCCCATCAACAACCCGAAATCTTTAAATGACTCAGGAAATGACAGGATATGTCTACAATTGGGGTTAAGGAGGTTTGGGAGGGGATAAAATGAGGATTGGTGGAAAACTATTAAAGAAGCAGTTTTAGCATAGGATGTTCTTCATTTCACATTGCTGGATAACTGTTCCTTTCCTATTCTTAGCAGAAAACAGCCTCAGAATTTTTACAAATTTAGAAGCACAATATTAGAAACTTAGAACTCAAGGATTGATTAATGAAGTTGAAAAATGCTTTCTAAAAGTAATACAGAAAAGCAAAGAGATGAGATATAGGAAAAGAGCCAACATCTGAATTAGTGGAATTCTAATATAATGGAACAAAATAAAGGGGAGGAAGTCAATGAAAGAATTAAAGGAAACTTCCTTGAACTAAAGGATGTGGGTCCCAGATTGAATGGACTCATCAAGGAAATAGCACAATGGATGAAAACAAGATCATACCAAGACTTGTCATTGCAAAATTTTAGAACTCTAAGGGCACATGTTTTATAATCTTTCAGAGTGGAAAAAAAAAATAGGTCACATACAAGGTCAGTAATTTAATTGGATTCAAACTTCTCAACAGCTAAAATATTATAGATAATGTCTTTCAAATAATGAAAAATTACTTCCAACAGAGTTCTATACCCAGCCAAACTATAAAACAAGTTTGAGAATAAAATAAAAATATCTTTAGACAAATAAGGCACCAAACTTTTATTTCCTATGACTAATAAGCTCTTGGAGGATTGTTCCACAAAAACAAGGAGAGAAAACCGGAGAATGAACCCAGGAAAAGCAAAAAAAAAATAAAAAACTATCCAGGATAATAATGAAGAACTCAGGATGACGAATGTGACCAAAGTATCTAGGACAACCATACCAGAGTGAAGCCCCAAATAATAGAGTAAACAAAGAAGACAGCATCCAGGAAACAGGACTCCAGCTCCATAGAATGGCATCACTGGAATGACAGCAAAGGGAATTCTAATGATGACTGTGCAGAAAACCTAGAGAACTCCACAAAGAATGGAGGTCTCCTAGACAGAGCACTCCAAGAAATATTGGAAATAACAGATGAACTGAAACTACACTGACTTTGTGAAAATCACATTGGCGGGCTATTGGATACTGTGGGAAGTCAGCAATAAAAAGAAACAAAAACAGGAATTCCTAATTTTAAGGAAGAAAAGTAAGAAAGGAAATATAAAAGCCTACTACAGTGCACAGTTCTGTATATTATTTGCATAGCATACTAATCATAGACCATTTAACCAAAAAATGTTAACATCACTATATCAGGAGCTTGGTGACAAGGAGGCAGAGAGGATGACTATGTAAGAGAAAAAAATCATTATAGATTGAGATCCCTTATCCAACATACTTGGAACAGAATTGTCTTCAATTCCAGAGTTTTCTTGGATTTTGGAATATTTGCATACACATAATGAGATATATTGGGGATGGGACCTAATTCTAAACACAAAATTTGTGTTTCAGGTACATATATTTGTTATTTGCATAGCATACTAATCATGTTTTCAGGTTTCATAAGTCTTTAGAAACCATCTACAATCGGTGGATCAGAGGAAGTCATATTTACAAATCCTATAGCGGAGATGTGTAAATCCTAAAGAAACTGCTAAACAAATTTTTAAAAGGGTTGCATTTGAGGAGGAGTTAATGTGAAGGGGTACAAAAGTGAATTGCTGTACTTTATTTTAAACTTTTAAAATAATAATTTGATATTTTAAAACGATACATATTTTGATAAAAAGGAACTTTCTAAGTCACCTAACACAATGTCTGGCAGGTGGTATGTGATTAATACTAGGAATAGCAAATGGATTACATTACTTTCACATCTTGCTTTTTCTCTGCCCAAGGAAAACATGACATGAAATCGTCCAGTGTGTCCACAATAGCATCAACTTGACATTGTTCCATTTCTGTTTTTCCAGCCAAATCTAAGGAATAGAGAGAGGCCCATTGATATGTTTAATTTAATTTACTATATTAAAAAGTTTGTTTTTAGCAGATACTATATTCATATGGTTGAAAATTCAAGAGTATTAAACAATATCCAGTGAAGATTAGCTTCCATCCACCACATTTTGCTTCCTTATTTACCTATCTTATTAGTAGCCACTTTAATTAGTTCCTTATGCATTCTTCCATTTTCTTTATGAAAATACAAGCAAATAAAAATACATATCCCACTAGATATGCTTCTTCACCCCATATCCCTTACAGATCTTTCTTACAAGTACCCAAAGGGTGTACTTGCTCTTTTTTTTTATTTTTGTACCTACATGAGATTTCTTGAGGTAGGTGTGCCACAATTTATTTAGCCTTAACTGATTAGGTTTGCTTCCAGTCTTTTGTTAATACAAGCAATACTACAATAAATAACCTGTAACTGCATTATAATTTATCTTATATAAAGAATTATTTTTATTTTGCAGACAGTTTTGGTCAGGACTTTGTTTTCTAACTGGAGACTAAACGTTTTAAATAACAGGATTTTTGTTCTTTGTCTCATTTGTTAATTACTATTTTTGCAAATAAATAATTGATCTTCCTAAAGATTTTCTTAATGGTGCCAATTTAAAATGCTTCTGTGTAGAAGCAATTCTGTGGATGAATTGTATGTAAACTATACCTCAGCAAAGATGTTCAAATCAAAAGAAAATGCTTAAGTGATTTAGAATTCCTCTGTAAACTATATTTGTGAGTGTGTGATATTCAGAGGTTATTATTCTTTCTGAACTTGAAAAGTCTTCAGAATTCTTCACTTTTTTTCATCCCTACTTTGACTTCCACCTCAAAGCTTCAACCAAACATTTATGTAGGTGACTCCTCATTCAATATTTTTAGTGCTAAACCACAGGCTCATTTTTTCAGCCTGTTTTTGGATATATCTCTGAGTATTCTTTTGGCGCCTGACCACTCTTCCGCAAATCCTCAAATGGAGTCATCACATCATTTCTCAAACCAGCTCTTCTTTTTTCACCCAAAAATAATTACTAGTCTCAACTGTGACTCAGCCCCAAGTGGGAGATATATGTAGAAGCATTGAAAGAGGTAAATTCCTTGCCTGCATTAACACTTATGGTCAGCTGCAGAAGACAGACATTAAGGGTATTGCAAGGTGAAAAAAGTATTTTAAACAGAAAGGAAATGAAGGAGAAGAGGAGGTGAAGGAGGAAGTTACCAGTACATAGTGCAATGAGAAAGGCAAACTGTCTACGCTGTGGTCTTCTTCTCCTGGTTAAACAGACTGCCTTCCACATGACAACATCTACATCTAAGATGATTCTACATCCACAGATTTTTCATATTTTTCTTGCTCTCTCTTCTTTTTCATTATCACCTGGGCCGTTTCAGTGGTCTCCTAACGTGTTTCCCTGCGGTAGCCACAAATACAAAGTAGCCACAATAATCTTCCCCCAGATGCATAGCAGTCGTTACGCTGCTTTTCTAGATTAAAAACTTACAATTGTGTAAGGAAAAAGGTCCACACTCTGGATCTTTCTAATCAGATTCAATCGTTTCTTCTAACATTTCTCTAATTCTCTTTCACCTGCAAATTTGAAGCTCATTTCTTCTTCTCATGCCATTTTCTCTCTGCTTTGAATGTTCTAGCCCAGTGATTCTCAAAGTGAGATCCATGGATCACCTGAATCATCTGGAAAATTGTTAAGAATGCAAATTCTTGGGCCTCACCCAAGGTTTACTGACTCAAAGTTGCACAAAGTATATTTTAGTAAGCACCCAGGTGACCTCGATACACATAAAGTTTGCAAAGCACTGCCCAGGTCCAAGTATTCCTCTTGAAATTCTAGCTATCCTTGAACCTAAACTTAAATATCATTTTCACTTTAAAGCTTAATTTCCCTAGTCATAAATAATTTCCATTTCTTCTAAACTTTCAAAAAAACTTTATTTGTTGAAACGTGCTAGTGTAACACAAACCTCTGTATTTTTAAAATACACTATTTCATTCCAAGATGGGGTCTGGTATTCATGGCCCATTTTATTTGTGAGCTAATTATGTATGTGTCTATGGCTTGAATCATAGTGGTGGCAATGCTGGTGGAGAGATAGGTTTGGGAGAATGGTGGGTCTACAGATTGATTGAAAGAAAGGAGCTTCAAAGGAAGCCAAAGTAGCTTTTGACTCAAAAAGAGTATGAGAATAGTATGAGGGAAGAGAGAAGAAGACAACGGAGCATAGGATGGGAGAAAGTGTGCCAGACAAAAACAGGAACGGTTTCTATTGTTTCTCTTCAAATATCATGGGGCGGGCACCAATGCAGTAATCCAGAAGCCAACTAGCCCCTTCAAGCTTCCTCAGATGGCACTGAGTGGAAGCAAAGGAACTCCCTTTCTATTTTTTTCAGCATGATTAGGATGAAGCACATTACTGAGTATATAATTTTAATAGTCTAAGAAATTTCAACCTTCATATGCTATATGTATTTTCTGCTAAGTAATTTTCTCTGATAACTTATAATATGCATACCAGCAAAAGTTTGGAATGAAACATATTGGTTCAGTTTCTCAGCTAAACTTCAAAAAGGGCTTAAAGGGCAAAGAGATATAAGACAGGAAAAGCAGGAGGCAATATAAAATAAAATTGTCTAATTGTCTAGGGAACTCACGGAAAGTTAAACTGATACAGGTGGCATATTTATACTTTTCTCTATTATTTACTTCCAGTCTTATTTGTACTATGATATGGTATGCTAAAGTCATTTATGAATATTGAATATATATCATGTGTTTGTTTCAGTTATCAAAAATCTTAAGCACAATAAACATGTTACCTGTGTTTTTGGTCAAATATCTTGCTATCGCTAGGCTCTGGTGAAGGGTAAGTCCATCAACTTCCAAAATGGGAATTTTTCCAAATGGGAGAGCTTAAAATAAAATGAGCAAAAAGTCAACTTCATAACAAAACCAGAAGTTATAATATTTCCATTTTTACTGATAAGTATGAAAACAAAGCATGATTTTACGAAATCATGAAATACTTAAATATTTATTTTTAAAGGAACACTTGACGATCTGTAGTGGAATATTTACATTTTATAAGTTTTTTTAAGTTGTTAGGAAATCTGATTTAAAGTTAGTGACAGAATTGGTTCTTAAACCCAGGTTTACAGTGACACCATATACAGTATGGTATTTTATATGCTTACTATTAAAATTTTCTTTTAAAGGTTTATTATTTTTGTCACCTCAATCACGGATTATTAAAAATCATATACTGGGATTATGAAGAGTATCAAACTCTTCATATTGAGTTATGGTAAGGAATTTAGCCATAGCCCTTTAAAAATTGATACATAGTAATTGCACATATTATGGGGTACATGTTATATTTCGATACATGCACACAATATAATCAGAAATTTTTTTCTTAGTTTCTTCATTGACCCATTGATCATTTAGGAGCATGTTGTGTAGTTTCCATATATTTGTATAGTTTCCAAAGCTTTTTTATTATTGCTTTCTAGTTTTATTCCATTGCAATCTGAGAAAATACTTGATATGATTTTAATTTTTAAAAATTTATTGGGAGCATTGTAAAATGCCCTCTGGGGCTTCATCGGTTGCAGGCACCCCCGCATGGGTGCCACTGCAGGGACCACACAGAGTTTGCTCCTGCCAGCACCCAAAGTGGTCGGCTGGATCCCACACTCGCTTGCTCACTTGCTCCCTCCCACAAGGGACTGAGTGCAGTGGGCCATGTAAATAGGGCACCACCATCGCAAGTCTGTCAAAGTGGTCAAGAAAAAAGTGCATCAACATTTTTCCAGTGAATCCTCTGTCAGCTCAACTTTTAGAGTTATCTGCTACTACAAATTCATAAGCCTTTTTCTGTATGTCTGGTGATTTAGCTTACCTTCTCCTCCCCAAGGTTTATGTTTGAGCTTTGGGCTTCATAAGTCACCTTACCATTCTTTGGCCTGCTTTTTAGCTTCCAGAATGTTGTGCTACTGTATCTACATTCAAGCTTTATTTCTTTGTCTTTAAGGACTTCGGCCTTTTTGTAAAGTACTTCAGTATTATCAGAGGAGAGAAAAATGTTTTAAAGAGAGAAAATGTGGACTCATGTGTGCAATCTACCAGGTTTGTCCAGAAGAACATTTTAATAAAAGTATCCCAAAGATGAAATGTGTTGACTGGAGATTTTCTAGGTTCTAGCAGAGGGAGTGTCATAGCAGGTTTCAAGCACTAGAGGGCACTGCTAAATTGGACACCAGATGAGACCAAATAACATTTGTAGTAGAAACTGCTTCTTAGTGGTACCTATTCTTCGCTTTCTTAGAGTAATAAAACCCTGGATTTTTAGCTGTGCAAATGATTATCCACAATTAAATCAACATTTCTCAATATCTCTTGTAGTAATGAGTTTCCCTTGTAGTAATATGTGTAGTAATATGGACTAAATTCTTACCAAGTTACATATGCAACTTTCTAATTATGCTGTTAAAAGGAAGGGGTGTGTCCCCTCCCTCTTTCACACTTTCCCTGAGCTACAATGTGGAAGGAGAGTTAGCTATCTCACACCGTATAAATAAGACATTGGTGGGTGGCAGATCAACAAGAAACCTAAAATTTGATAACTTTATAGAACAACATCATGATACCCATTTGGGGTTTTGTGTAAAAGAAATTGCTGTCCTTTTTAAGACAAGTTTTACATTGTGTCTTTGTCTATTAAAGCATTTGAAACTCTATCCTAACCATCATGAACTTTAAGATTCAACTCTGGAAATCTACGGATATATTAAGAAAAGACAGAAATTCCATTTTCAGTAACAATGAAAAGTTGAGGTAGAACAGGGAATGAGGCACTCAGTGAATTTCTGTTTAAAAGCTAACAGGCAAAATTTGTTACATGTAATATCTGCACCTTTCTATCCATCTTGGTCTAATTAATTAGTGGATAAAAGTAATGTTCACCTATTATATGTTCACCATCTTAAAATCCCATGTGCAAATTCTGATATCAGAAGCAACATTTGGATGTTAATGGTTAAGTATCATGAGAATGAGAAATAAGATACACTATCTCACCAGAGAAGAGGTCTCTGCTTAGAAAAAGAATGGCTATAAGGACAATGACTTTTAAGGAGCTCTTGCTTCCCAAGGCATGTGGCAATTCATTGATAATATGCCAATTATCATAGTAGTGTTGTTTTAGCATAATCTAGTGCAAATAGCTTGGGCTTGGAATTAAATTCACCTGGGTTTGAAACTCAGCTCCACTTGCTATGGTCGTGAAACTGGAAAATTTACCTAAACTCTGTGCACTTCAGCTATCCCAACGACAAAAAAGAAAAAAAAGTCTCATGTTTCTTTCAGCTCGTCTGACAAAGCTTTATACTGGTTTACCTTTATATTCTCTTTCTATAAGGTTTGTGTTTTCAGCTCTAATAGGAAATTTGCTTGATCACACAGCATTTATTTAATTTGTCTGAAATGCTGCTTCTCAATTTAAAGCTACATGAGCTTTGAAACCTTGATTTGTTTTCATTTCCTCGAGGAAAAACAAAAGGTTTTGAAAGCATATTTTTCCTACATTTATTATTTGTGCTACTTACTTGATTTGATTTCAGGCCAGTCAGCTTGTTCTATTCTGTGGTCTTCATACTCTATGTCCAAATAAGCAAATATGTAACGAATAATTTCTGCTCTCCCCCTCATATTAAAATAAGTGAGTTTGTAGTTTGGCATGGTGCGATTCTGGAAACAGAAAAAGGGAGGATTATTCTAAGAGCCCTCTAGAGATGTCTCAATATTTTTCTTGAGGATTTTTTTGGAAAACTTCATGGTATCTCTTGAGATAACTGGAGACATTAGAGGATATTTCAAAACCAAAATTATAAATCACTATATAATTACATATGAGAAATAAGATCATGTCTCTCTCTCTTTCTCTCTCTCTCAGCACTAGTTAGAACATTACAGTGAAATAACCAAATTTAAACCTCGTTTATAAAAATATTCAGATTAAGAGGGTATCTACACACCAACCTTTAGTGTATGCAGCAAGAAAACTTCGCACTTTAGTGTCATTGGTAATGTGTAATAGTTGATATTTTGCCTGTTTTGTTTGCTCTGGTGACACAGCTCAGCGAGGACATCTGAGTAAGGACAGCCAAGTGCTGGGCACATGCAAGAGGAATGTGAGTGCCATGCCAACCTGTCATTGCCTCTCTTTCCTCACCTATGGCTTTCCCTCTAGGCATCCAAGGGCTAGGGCAACGTTGCTATCTGGTTCCCTCTGACTGCCTCCATGCTGCTGGGTTTTACTGGGTTACTTGCACCACAAAACACACCCCAGCTTGAGACCTCTGCAGGGATGGGACACTCTTCCTTCCTTCCCTCTGTGGAGGAACAAAGCCAACTACTCTTACATTTCAAAATGTTTACAATACTGGTCAATTCAGTCATTATAATCTTAGGGGTTTTAAGTGATTTGTATCTTTTCATTTTCATTGTTTATAAATGGTTAATGACTTTAAGCACTTGTAGTGGAATACGTTTTAACTTTGTAAGATCAAACAGCTGAGAAAGAAATGTTTTCATTTGAAATTCAATTCTTCAAATTTGGGCTTTGGCCAGTTACAATCTTCCTGAATTTCAAAGTCCACGTTTTATAAATAGCGATATTAACATGGATTTGTAAATTAATGAGGTAATGCATATAGCACAATGGCAAACTTAATCATTAGTGTTAGGAATGATAACTTTGATCTCATTCTGTAGTCAAAAATAAACACTATGAATACGGCACACTGAAGATAAATTATAATTATGGTAACTAAATGAATAAAAGCATATAATAATTATTTATTTAAAGTAGTGAATTTAAATAGTTTATTCTCTACTAAGAAAGTTTTCAAAGAATATTATGGAATACTAATTAGATAAAAAGGAAAGTTGGGCTCCAGCCTCAAAATAAAATTCCATCAAAAATTACATCACAGGCCAAGCTCAGTGGCTCATGCCTGTAATCCCAGCACTTTTGGAGGCTGAGACAGGTTTATCACCTGAAGCCAGGAGTTCGAGACTAGCCTGGCCAACATGATGAAACTCCATCTCTACTAAAAATTCAAAAATTAGCCAGACATGGTGGTGCACACCTGTAATCCCAGCTACTAGGAAGGCTGAGGTAGGAGAATCTCTTGAGCCCCAGAGGCAGAGGTTACAGTGAGCCAAGATAGCACCACTGCACTCCAGCCTGGGCAACAGAGCAAAACTCCATCTCAAAAAAAAAAAAAAAAAAAATCACATCACATAAAAGGTCAAATGCAAATCATAAAAGTCTAGGTTGCCAAGTCCTGACTTCAAGTTTATATATTCCTGGAGTCTAGTGGGAAGAGGATGACCTGGAAATAACTGGTTGCCTATCTGGAAGCTCCCAGGTTCAGGAAGTGACAGTGATAGTAATTCCTAGCAAAACCGATTTTTCAGGCCCTGGCTTCTGTGTCCTGGTGTTGTGGAGTGAAGCTGGTAGTCCTTGGTAAAGTGAAAGAGCTACTGCCAATCATGCCTGCCCAGTTTGCATCAGCCAGTTCAATCCCCACCCAACTGAGATATAGCACTCACCACATGTATAGATAGGTGGGAAATGTTCTTGGAAGACAGAAGAATTGACTAGCGTCAACTAATAAGAATTCCATGATTTACAGCCACAAATATTTTTCAGGGAGAAATATACATATAAAGGAGTTCAAATTTGGGAAACTAAATGAAATGCTCATCAGAACAATGAAACTGTTTTTCTGGTTATTTAGAAACAAATAGTAGAAAAAGTCTAAGAGCACCAAAATAGTCAATTGAAAAGTAATAAGAGATTATTCTTATCCAGGAAATGAAAAGCATAATTGTTATATAATTCCTGGGCCTATTTGTTTTAAATATCAAAACAATTTCTAAAAGCCTACAGAGTAGTGTGATTATCAGTTGTAGTTTCTATTTGGTGATTTGTTTTGTTTGTTTTGTTTTGTTTTGTTTTGTTGAGACATAGTCTCACTCTGTCCCCCAGCCTAGAGTGCAGTGGCACAATCTGGGTTTACTGCAACCTCCGCCTCCTGGATTCAAGCAATTCTCCTGCCTCAGCCTCCTGAGTAGTTGGAATTACAGGCATGCACCATCACACCTGGCTAAGTTTTCTATTTCTGGTAGTGATGGAGTTTCACTATGTTGGCCAGACTGGTCTTGAACTCCCAACCTCAGGTGATCTACCTGCCTTTGCCTCCCAAAGTGCTGGGATTACAGGCGTGAGCCACTGTGCCTGACCTGCAGTTTCTATTTGAAAATCATTTTATATAAAAATTTTTATTGATTTTGTTGGCAGAGTCAATGTTTCCACAGCACGAAAAAATTATATTTTCTTCCTATAACATTGAAAGTTAGCATTACACCAGGGGTCGTGGCTAATGCCTGTAATCCTAGCACTTTGGGAGGCTGAGGCAGGTGATCATGAGGTTAGGAATTTGAGACCAGCCTGGCCAACATGGTAGAAACCCATCTTTATTAAAAATATAAAAATTTGCTGGGCATGGTGGCAGGCATCTGTAATCCCAGATACTCAGGAGGCTGAGGCAGGAGAATCACTTGAAAGAGGGAGTCAGAGGTTGGAGTGAGCTGAGATCATGCCATTGCACTCCAGCCTGGGTGACACAGTGAGACTCCGTCCCCCAAAAAAAAACAAAACAGTTATCAGCATTAAAAGTTAAACATATAACCTTTTCTCATTCAGTCAAATATTATGTAAATATCAGTGTATACCTGCTGAATTCTGCATGAAAATAAAGTGATTGCTTTTTGTTGTTAATTTACAAAATCATGCTATTTTATATTGTATTTCACTCAAGTAAAGAAGACATTTAAAAATTCTCAGCATAGGTTGAGAAATATAGATAATAGCGATCTATATTTCTCTGCAAAAATATCTTGAAGTCTAAAATTTGGCAGAGGCCCATGAGCAGCTAACAAATGCTTATCTTTCCTTTTAAAATATTCTTGCAATAGTTGTAATTCATTAAAGAAGCTGTACTTTGGACATGACATTCCCGTAGTTATTTGCATAATTATGTTTTCTTTTTATCTCTGGAATGCAAGGTGTTACATCAGAACATCCATCTATATAACAAACTATATAAAAAGAGAAAAAAGAGCCTGGGTGCAGTGGCTCACATCTGTAATCCCAGCACTTTGCGAGGCCGAGGAGGGCAGATCACTTGAGGTCAGGAGTTTGAGACCAGCCTGGCTAACATAGTGAAACCCAGTCATTACAAAAAAATATATAAAAATTAGCTAAGTGTGGTGGTGTACAACTGTAATTCCAGCTGCTAAGGTGGCTAAGGCATGAGAATTGCTTGAGCCTGGGAAACGGAGGTAGCAGTGAGCCAAGACTGCATCATCAGCTTGGGCAACAGAGTGAGGCTCTCTCTCTCAAAAAAAAAAAAAAAAAGAATTATCATAAAATATACTATATGTCAATAGATACTAAATCCTTTTAAAAAGTATTTATAACATTATCATTCATTTGTGATCAAAACTCTTAGCAAAATGAAAAATCAACAAAATTAAAAACCTCTTAGCAAACGAGTAATAGAATACTTCCTTAACACTATAAAGAGTCTCTACTAAAAACTTACAGCAAACATCATATATAATGGTGAACCAATAAAAGCATTTTCTTTAATGTGAGGAATAACAAGAATCCCACTGTAACATCTGCTATTCAGCATAATGCTGGACAGTCTGGCTAATTCAATAATGAAAGACAATAATAAATGACATTTATAAGTAGTAGGAAGAGAGTGACAGAGCTGTCCATTTGCAATCAAATTGATTGCAAATCACTGAAAATTATTCAAGAGATTCTACAGATAAACTGGATCCTAGATTTCAAATGGAAATGTGAAGGACCGAAACAGCGAAGACAAACAGAAAAGGAGAACAGAAGAGGAAGACTTGATGTAGCAGATAGCAAGAGTTAGATACAAAGCCTTGTAATGTGATATTTGTTCAGACGTGCATCAAGAGTATTAAAACAGAACCTCACATAAAGGACAGACATGACAGAGAGTGAGGACATAAAGCAACGACTAAAATGGTTCTGAGACAACAGAGGGAAAATAAGCATAAATAGACCTCAACTTTCTATCGCGCACAGAAGTAACACCTAGGTTATCTGGTTATGATTTGATTACCCCAGCAAAACTGTAATATCGTTCTGGTCCCTTATTTCCTGTTAGCTTTGTTTCTGAACCCGTCCACTGTCACTGTGTTAGGAATCTCATGTACAGAAAACTGCACGTTTGCTGAAGTGATAAGCATGAAGTTAAAAAGTTGATTGTGTTTGAAGATCTTTACATCTAAAATTAACCACTGGCTTCCTTATACCCCAAAGTAAATCATGTGAAGTTACTGATTCAGCAGATAGATTAAAAAAGCTCATTTAGAATTCTTTTTGAAGACTAACCTATACCGTTTCTCAAAGAACACATAAATAAATAACTAATAAATACCCTGGATAGAAACTTACATATATAAACTCATCCGTACCTGCTGTGCCAAGGGAATCACCGGAAAGCACACTGTCCCTGGGAACCAAGGTCCCCTGGGCCTGAGGTGTCTAACCAAATAACCCAATGGCAGGATTAAGGATGCCTGGAACAAGTGCCAGCAGGAGCCATCACCCTCAGAAAGCCCCAGGTAAAGCTAGCCGTGAAGGTCCAGGAAGCCAGTCTTCTCCTGGGCGCTGGCATGGCCTTCTCAGTATCTCTCTCCTGCCCTGGAAACTTGGTGCTGGTATAGAAAAGTTAATACTTCTATTCAGTTACTATAAGCTATCTCAAAAGTTAATAACAAAGAAAGGTTGCTAATTCTCTCTGCAAAAAGCATCTATCTCTACGAACCAGCTTAACTCTTCAGGTACCATAGCTTAAAAAAATAAAAAGGGCCCTAAATCTGCTAACAACAAAAAGGAGGGAAACCTGTTTCTAGGAAAAATGCTGCTCTTTTGTAAACCAGTTAAGTGTTATTTTAAACGTAGAACTCAGGAATCAATCAAAAAAGGGGCTAGAAACTTTCAAAATCCTGGCTCTGTTCTCTCCTAGGCTCGTTTATAACTCTGCACCTCTCATCTTTAACCACCTGGTCATATTCATTTCTTATAAAACCATAAGGTCACAATTAATCCTGCCGCTCTATCATAAATCTGTAAATCAACCTGCACCCTTAAAGGGCTCCACTCTGGAGGAAACCTCAACTGCAGGGCCCCTTCTACAACCCATTTCAGCACGAAGTAGTTAAAGAGGATCGATGCCCCTATTCCAACAAAAGTTGAATTTTCCTGTTCAGATGAGGGAATAAGGGATTGTGTTCTCTTTCCGGGTACATGAGGGAGCGTAGTTTTAAGGGCAAGAATTTCCCAATGCCATGCCCCCCTCCCATCTCTCCATCAGGGAGATTCAAAGGTTTATGTTTGAATTTCGAGGCCGCGGGGGGCGGGGGGGGAAGGGAAGCTAAGAGTCAATCACTTCAGCGGAAGTTGTAAGGAACTCCTTTCATTGGCCTAAGGAACTTGGGAAGGTGGGAGTTTCTCCCAGAATAAATTCCCCTGCTCCTTCACCCATGCCGGATTTCCAGCTCTCTGGAATCCCATCCCACACGGTGGGAGCTCCCTTTCCCCTCTAGATTTCCCCTCTGGAATCCCCTTCCACACTCTTCGTGGAAGTCTTTCTCTTCTCCTTTCCTTCTCTTTTCTCTGCCTAAATAAAATCACCTTTCTGCAACACTTCTTCGGTCCAGTATTTACTTCCACAAGCATACGGCACACCTGCAGTGGTCCCATCGCTTATTCTTTAAGAGGTTAGAGGCCAAGAACCCACAGCATTCTCTCAGGTGAGCTGTGCCTCACCAGTACCCAAGAAAAAAACCGGTTACAATGGGATGCAATTCTTGTCAAAACATGGAGATGCTTCAACAAAATGTGGCTTAAAATAATAGAAAGTATTACAAGTAAAATTCTTAAACTTTAAAGAAAAGGAAAGAAAGTGAAGAGCCATGAGATAAAATTCCCTACTCGATCAATCCAAGAGATTGAAAAATCTCTTGGGAAAATTCTGGCAGTAGTCACAAACCCCGATTAAGACAGGATTTTTCCTCTAGCATTGATTATATTTTCTATGTTAAAATCCACTTGAAGAGATCTTTTTAAATCTCCTGTACCTAATTTCTCTTAAAAATGACCATTGGATTTTTACAGAGTCATATATACGGTGAGGCTCTGGGTAAACAAGGTCAGAGTGAGTACCGTCATGAAAATAGCTCACAAAAGAGTTCCTCAGTCACTAATCTCTGCGGAGTTCAATAATATTACTTACCTGTGTTGTGTCTCTCAGGAGTCTGTAGTGTCCTCTATCCCTTGGTATATGACTGTGCCTTGGGTTTTTATGACGAGTAAGTGATAATCACAAGCCAATGAGAGGACAGGCAACTTCCTTCCACCTAAAGCTCTTCTTTCTTTTCTTAGATGAAACACGCATGCCAGGCAATTCAAGCCTGCAAAGACTGCTGGTTATACAGGATATCTGGGTGTAAATAACCCAACTCATTTGCATAAAAGGTAAAGTCAAAGTTATAGCTGCATATGTATGCCCACTGTTACATTTACTTTTAGTTTCACACCATAGACTCTTGGAGAATAAGACAACCTGAATGCAATTCAGTCATCTTTGCATATGGACACATGGCTTGCTTCCCTATTTTAGAAACAGTTTCTCCCGTGCCTGCGGTATGTTCCTTCAAGGGAGTGTCTAACAATGTCATGTATTTCATTTGCTTGTTTTTGGTTTCCCCTAGTGGAACGTAAGCTCTGTAAAGGCAGGCAGTTCACTGTCTTGTTTACTGTTACCTCCTCAGTACTAAGAGGAGTGCCAGCCATGTCATGGGCACTGATAAACATTTGATGATAGAATGACCCTAATTTATAGTTCACATCTTTTCAAAGACTGTAAATTTGCATTGCTGCTGGTATATTTCATTTACCCTCATTTCTCAGAAAAGCCAAAGGGTTTAAAGTAAACCTGGTGTAGAAGTTTCCAATTCTTCTTGCTTGTGATCCTTTTACAATTTAGTAACAAATGCCTAGACATTTGAGAAATTTATTTTTCACTTCTTGTGCAGGAATTAATTTCATCTATGATATTAGGACAGCACAGTGAAAAGATCAAATAAAATGACCTCTGGGCCTTACTGAGCCTGAGGATTGTTCATGAAACATTTTAATGACCAGAAGGCTTTCAACTTCCAGGAAATTACTCCCACAGGCAGCAATAGCAACCTCTCAATCACGTCTTATTTCTGATTTCTAAAGTGACTTTAACTTCAAAAAATATGTTTACATCCACTTGGTATAAACATCAGAAATGAAAATAAATATAAATACTTGTTTGTAAAAAGTTAGAGTAGACACAAGTGTAGCTCTGAATCACCAAAAAACGATACATGTGTGTCAAAATCAAGTGCAAATGGGTTGGGAGTGGGAGCTATACAAAATTAACACAATGTATTTATCATCTTTGATAGTTCTAACTTACATTTTCAAAAAATCTTTTTATCCTCACCTCAATGATTTTTAATTCCTGTTTTTATAAATAAGGAAATTGAAACTTGGGAAATTAGGTAAATTGCCTGTGAATTTTTGATGAGACAAGCTAGAATTAAAACCTAGGCCTTCTGATGACACATTTAATATTTTTCCCTACAGGATGCTGCCTCTCTATATAATAAGAGACTGCTTCAGTTAAAAAAAAAAAGTCAAGTATACAAAAAATAGCATTTGTCTCATTTTGTATTACAGTTTTCTTCCTTACAACCAGTTGTTTTGGCTAGAGGAAAGCAAAGTAACACTTCACGGATTGGGGAAGGAGCCGCCACTTGATCCTTGGTCACGGATCCACAGAGGCTGCTCTGGAGACACCTTGTCCTTGTGTACATGGCCTCCATGCCAGGAGCTCTCTGCAGCTCCTGTAGCATTTTCACTTTGCTACCTTCTTGCCCCTGTGTGGCAGTTTAACCTCTTACAATGCTGCCTGAGATTCCACCTGCCCAGTACCCAACAGAGCCACTTCTTCTCTGTGGTCTTCCCAACTCCCTGTAGGCATATCAGGGTCTCCAGGGCCCCTCTACTCTTGGGAAGCACAGCTTTCCCTTCAGCTCTTCTCCCAGCTCAGCTGGGGATGCTCTAACTTTCCTAGTCTTCTAACAGCTGTGGGCCTTTGGGCAGGTAAGTTAATTCCTCTGTGCCTAAGTTCCTTCACCTTCATATGGAGATTGATTCTACAATAAATATTTACCTATTCTTAATTTTTGCCAGGTATTGTTCTCAATGCTAGAGATAGAGCAGTGAAAAAAAACAGAGAAAAACAAATCTTCATGGAGCATTCTACTATATTAGTAATAACTTCTTCATAGGCTTTTAGAGAATTAAATGAGCACACAGCTATGTGTTTCAAAGGGTGCCTGATGCATAGTTAGGGATCCCTGTGTGCGAGCAGTTGTTAATATTATTAGCGGTTCACCTGAGGGGAAGATCATTTCCCTTCAAGAATCTTTGCTCAAGATTCCTTCCTTTTCTGTGGTTGGGTTTTGGCACCGAAAGCAGGAAGAGAAGTAGCTGTCAAGTGTGACATGGTAAAAGCCCCATAAACCCGGATACCTCAGCCATCCCTCGGCTTTCTGTTAAAATTGCTTTCTGTAACCCTAATGTGACAGGCAAGCAGTCCAAACCCACACCATCTTGGCCCCTGTGACTTGTAATAAGTAAACTAAAGTCTGTAATTTCCACCCTACCCAGGCAATGTGTAAACTAACTCTTATCTTAACTTCTGTAAATCACTTAAGTAACAATCAAAATGTCCGAAGCCCCTCACGCTCATCTCCACCCAGGAGGTAATTTACAGAATGTCCAAAGTCCAGTAACCCTCAGAATGTCTAAAGCCCCTCACCCCAACCCCCACCCCTCACCATCACCCCCAAAGTGGCTTAAGAGCATAAAAAGTCTTAATAGCCTCTTTTCAAGGCCACAGGTTAAAAGAACGCAAGTCCTCTGTAGCCGCTGGCAATAAAAACCCTGCAATTTAGCATCCTTTTGTCTCAGTGTTAACTTTCTATGCTCGCTCCAGTATAACACAGGCAATTTTTATTTTTCACCGTGCTTCATCCTCTCCTGAGGGAATGAGCACGGAGCCAAGTGTCTACCGGGATAGGAGGAGGAAAAGGGCAAGGGCAAAGTGAAAGCCCCTCATAGATTGTTACTCACAGTTCCCTGCTCCCCAGGACAGCAACTTCTTCATGCCACACACCCTTCAGGAGCATGCTGTGTGTCCAGACGGGACTGCATGAGAAATACCCATGAATCAAGGTGTTAAGTTGTATGATGATGTTCACAGTCATTTGAAGGCCTATTATAATTTAATGACTATGTCTTCATTTTCTCCAGTGGCTTTCTATTTGGAAAATTTTTAATTCTGTGGTGTTGAATTAGCAAATTCCTAACTGCTGTTAAAAATTCAACGTTAAATCACGGTCCATTTCTGTCCCTGTTTTCTTTATTTGCCCACCTGTAGTGATTAAAGAGTTTCATCCTGGAATCATGACCACATAGTGGAATCTCAAAATTCCATTATTTGCAAGATCTGGGACTTTAGGCAGCTCCTGACCGTCTCTTAGCTTTAGTTTCCT